TATAATCATTCAAATTAATATATAAAATATATTATGTTTTCAACATTATGAAACAATTTATTATAATAGAAAATTGTATATTTTAATTATCAACAAATTCAATAGATACGCATTAATAAGAAGATTAAAAAATATCTTTTTACAATCCGATTAAAAAAGCAATTATAATGCAAATTTATAAACTTTGGATGGTTTTTTTTTTCTTCTTATTTTTTTACAGCGATCAGTGACTTTTATGCGGTCATCCTTTCTGCTTGAAATTATTCACTTGAGTATCTAGTTACTATAGCAATCTTTATTAGTTTTTCTTTAATAATTATTTCTTTTTTTAGAATAATTTAATAATTATTATTATTCTGTTTCTTTTAATTAAACCTTGATTGCGAAAAATCTTATTGAGAATTTAATTAGTGATGGTTCTAGTAATATTTTGATAATTTAATTTTTGTGCATTGATAATACAAAAATATTTACACTAAAAGTGACAAAATGAGACGTGTGGTATAGATTAAATAAATAAACTATTTTTGAATCCATAGTAAATATACTAATATTGTATTACTTATCTTATATTGCATATACTTATATATTTATATTTTATGTAGTAAATAAATTATATAATTTATTCTTCAATATATTTTTATACAATAAATATAAACACACATTTTTGTTTAAATATAAACATACTGATTTATTATTATTATTATTATATATATATATATATACTAAATATACTCATTCATATAACAAATTAGTTTGTTTATATTTATATAAAAATGTATTTTATTTATTTTATAAAATATATTAAATAAGAAATTATATAATTTATTTACTAATTTTTTATTATTTATTAATCGTAAACTAGAATACTAGATTACACGTTAAGTAAGAATTTTAAAAATAAATGACTGTTGTAATACGAGTTGAACAGTAAAGGAAAAACTTATTTAAACTTTTAGGAATTTTGGAAAAAAAATTATACTGATAGATTAAATTATGCTTAACTATTTTAATTATGTAATATTGAATTTATTTTTTTCTCTTCTTCTCTCCTTCATGTTAAAAATGTGGTTTTTTTTTCCTCTCTCTTTCATCTTTTAAAACAAACCCTGTGCAGATAAAAAATGGGCCATTAACAAAAAATAATAAATCATCACTTGCAGCAAACATAAGAACTTATTTCTCAGAGTTCGCTTCTGTAGTTATTTTAAATAAATAATTACATTAGTATATATTAAGTTGCATCATTTGGTTGACACTGTTATCTTTGTTTTTATGGAAAATGAATGAATGGGAAAAGATGTAAATAAAAACATTTTTATTATCTAGTTTATAATTAAAAACGACAGAGATAAAACATATTACTGAGTTTTACTTATAAAAAAAATAAAATAAAAAAATCTCAAGTGGCCATAAATTGGGGTTAATATATTTTTTTAGAAATAAAAAAATCGTTTATCCTTCCATATTTTTATTTCTTCCATTTTTCTTCTTTTTCTCTTATAAAGCAAACACATGTTTCTTCTCTCAGTTTTTTTTTTTATTTTATACTTTTATCCAGTTGTCACTTGGGCTTTCTCATGGGAAGCCCGGGGCAAAGCAAGCGTAGAATGTTTTCGGAGAAGGGGACAAAACGCCTATATAACTTTATAAGTAAGCAGTATAGTATCACTTAATGATTAAGAATTGTCTAGATAAATAATTTAATTAAGTATTTATTTAACAACTTTTTATCATATGATAATTTATGTCATAAATTTGATTATGAAGTTATTGGAATAATTTAGAAAATATTTTTTTAACCTGTTAGTAGGAAGCTTATCTAAGTAAATAAGTTAAATTTTTTATATATAATATTTTTAGTTTATATAAAATGAATAAGTTTTATTTTAGTTCTCGTAAAAGAATTTATTTCTTTTTTATTCTTTTAAAATTTAAAACTATTATTTTTTGTAACAACTTGACAGATTATTATACTTATTACGATTCAATTATTACACAACTGAATAGTAAACAAACAAAAACTTAAGGTTATCGATACGTAAGCAATTATGTAAGCAATATTTGTATAAGGTAAAAAATAAATAACTGAAAATAAACCCTCACAAGCTATATACATACCATGTACAAATATATATACAATTATATCAAATACATACACATAATGAGCTTTACACATATCAAATGACTATACAAGATCATACTGCATCAAAGTAGTTATAACACAAAAGAGTCATATTAGCGTGACTCACCACGTTGCCAACCAAGTAATCTAGCTAATATTGTCTAACTCTCATACCAAGTATGATCATTGCAATTCTAACCACAAGGAAAAGAAGGGTAAACTTGTGAAGAAGATTATCATACTATACAATTGAACAACTCACAACAATCTCAGCATATTCAACTTCATATAAACAGCATACAACTTCTCTACCAAAAATACATTATACAACTTAATGGCTTAATCAACTTCAACACATTCAACACAACAACACATATAATTATATCTAATATGCCATCAGACATATCAATTATGGAGATCTTTTACAATAGAGGTGAACAATTTAAGTGATTATACCTTACCAAATTATAACGTGTAACTTATCTCAATTAAGTCAGCTAACCACTCAATTTAATTTCTTAAGTTTATCACTTAAACTAAGAAGTTTAGTACTACTGTTATGCTACAATAGCTTAAGTATGAGTTTATGATGACATTAGTTTGCAACATTAAGTCACCTATGAGATTAGCCCACAGACTACCTTCTAAGTATTACGTCCCTCTAATACTTGGTTAGAAACTAAGTTCTCAATTTTGTATTTTACTTGATTGATTCTTTTATACATGTATCTCTCAACTTTACCTAAATATGAATACCACATAAATCCAAGAGGAGACAACACAACAACTTACCATTCAAAAGTCAACTTACTTATCGAAGGTTTTTAATACTTGACTCTCAAAGCACTACAACATATATCCTCACAATGAGATTTTAATTTTCGAAAGCAACACTTACTCTCTTCTAGTCTTTATGTATTTTAGCAAAGACATGTATCTCTACCACATGTCTAACAATTTAACAAATCAGCAACTTGAGCAACCCTACAACATGTTGCTTTACAATTCAATCACCTATCAACTCACAACTTACAACATGAATCATCAATTATTCACCATCTTACAACATATAGATTCACCATCATACATTATCCATCATTCAACTTATCATCACTTTGCAACTAGAAAATAACTTAAACAACACACAAAAATTCATGTAACCCACATCTAGTGCCACGCCTAGGATGTCTGAAACCATTGAGGCAAGGGCTCCTTATCTCGTTCACGCCCGATGAGAATGAGATAGAACCCCTTGGTTGAAACCATGTTTGATGACTTGAAAGTGCATTTGGCGCGATATCAATTATTCACTTATGCTTAACACAATTTTGGCCCAAACACTTGAAAATCATATACTTTTCCAACATGTAATACATTATAACATATCTATACAACTTATGCAACATATTTACACCATTAGAAACAACATGCATCCAACACAACCAAAAATCATCATATTTCAACTCATGAACAACTTTGAGAAAAAAAATTCCCTCCATTTTTGCAAACCACCTCAAGTACAATCAAAACATCTACCAAACACAAGATCAACAACAATTCATCATCTTGAAATTCAACCAAAATCAACACAAATTTTTCTTACCTCTTGAAAAACCAAATCAGTAAGTAAAAGGAGAGGAAAAAGAAACTTCATATAGTTTCAAAGCAATTCCTTAGCTTGCACAAGCTCTCAATCCTCAAGTCATCCAATTGGTTTAACTACAAGGAAGAAAAAGAATGAAAGATCTCTCGACAAGTAGAAGCAAAGGGGTTAGGAGTTTTCTAGAGAGTCTCTCAGTAGTTTTTCTCTGAGATTTTTCTAAAATTAGAAGTTATGAGGTTTTGATTTTAAGAAAATCTTATATACTTTTCGTGAGTTAACCCAACTTAACTTTACTAAAACTCATCACTTAATCATATGATTGAAGTAAACACCTCAAAATGATAGTGTTACACTTTTAGTCCTTGTAATCATTTTCAACTATTTATTTGTTTATTATTTAAAAGGGTCAAGCGATCATCTCAAGTGTTATTGTTGTATTATTGATATCATATCAATGTATGACACTTCTAATTTTTTTTATATGTTCTTAAAATAAATATTTTTTATCTATCTTAAAATCATTATTTGAGACCAAAAATAATGATTTTAAATTTTAAAAGGATGAAAATCAGTAAAAAAAAATACTTTACAAGAATCAAAACTAAAATTTACTTATTTTACAAAGAGCACTTTTTTTTTACTTGGACTAAAAATAATGTATAAATTTTAGAAGAATGAAAAATAAATATTTTTTTAGAGAGATTGTAATCAATATTCATTCATTTGATGGACATATTTAACCCTAAAAATAATTTGAATAGAAGAGTGTTAACACCACACATCTCTCCTCTCCTCTAAAACACTATTATTTATTGGTTAAAAATTATAAAATTATGAAAAAATTAATTAATTAAGACAATGATACTAAACAAATTTTGTAATTTTTGTAAATTTCATTGTATCAAAAATTTTATTTTCCTAATACTTCTCATTTGAAAATCATAAATTATTTTCATAAATTAAAATAAGCTTCTCATTAACTATTTCAAATACTCCCCTAAAATGTTAATTATTACTAGCTTTAAGCACTCTTGAAAAATCATCCAAAAAAAAAGTACTCTTGAAAAATATAAAATAAAGGCACTACCAGATAATTAAAAAATTATTACATAAACCTGATACAACAACAGATCATTTTCATGGAGTACCAAGCGATATCCTAGAATCATCGTTCTCTCCTCTCTCTATATTTCTATCATTTTCTATTTATTTTTCCTTTCTATATCTTTCAGCAATCTAAACAGAGTATATGTTCATCTACAGCGTTAAATATGTGTATTAGCCCTTATTCTTTTTACAGATGAAAAAGAAAGACATGCCTTTTTTTATTTTTCGAGTTACGCATGAATTTGACAATAAGGTACGCATTTTATTTACGTAGTGAACCAGAAGACGAATTGCTAAATCCTCGTGATTTAATTTGTGGATTTTGAAATCCAATGTACGTGCTCTGAAACGCATGTTTGTTGTCTTTTTTTTTTCAGTTTTAGATGGAATGCTTCTTTCTCTCGTGACTTTATCAATTTTTGTCCAACAAAGAGTGTTAGGTGAGAAATGAATAGGTAGAGCATTTATATAAATTTTGGTTTTTCTAATAATATTATATATAGTAAAGGGGTTCGAATAACCTAAACCTACCAGTAGACATTTATTAATTGGTCACCATTAAGTCTTGTGACATGTTTTAATTTCCAAATGGAACAAACGTCTTCCCCTCTTAACAAAAAGGGGGTGATATAATTTAATTATCCCTTAGTTATTCATCATCCTAAGGTTTAAGTATTAAATAACATCTTTCTTGTGCACACAAGGAAGTAACTCCAATTTTCAAACTCATTAAAAGTGAAGCAATTTATGGGGCTGACGTGTGAGATATATATGAGTCAGCAAGAGATTTGAGAAATTTTCACTCTTATAAGGCACCCTAGTGGAACAGGTGGACTGGCATGGAAGAAAGGCTTGTGGGAGACTCTAGCAAAAGAGGCATCTACTTGCTTAAAATGCAAGAGGGCTACCTATATGTCAAAACATGAAACCTTCCAATGTGTTCCTTTTACCACCAAGTTACGTGCCAAATGATGGCGAAAGAATTGAAACATGTCTTGAAGAAGAAGCCAATGGGAAAGGTAAAATGGGTACTAAGCTATTTTGTGGTGATCAAAGTGTGAGATGCACAGCTGATTGGTGGAGTGGCTTCTTCTTGTGCAAGGAAGAAAAGGACAGTGCACCAGCAACAAATGTTAATTCATGAATGGCCAATTATGGAATTTAAAACGTCCCAAAATTATAAACAGTGACCTTGCAAAATCTTCACCCTTGTCTAAGAAAAGCCTAGATGTTTCCTCTTTATCTCCCTCCACTTTACTTCATCTGCATGAGCTAGTTAGCCACTTCTTCACCAAATGGGGTGGCTGCAATCCCTCCTCTCTCCACTCAAGAAGTTCTGGCTCCGCTTGAATTCAACTCAAAAGAAGAGTATGTTCCATCATCATACCTGCATTCTACTTATCAATTTTCATTCACACAATGCTTGTGTCCTGTTTTTTTACATTGTTTAAGTACTTAGTCACATACCTTCTATATATTCTTAACCAATCAATCAAATACACCACTGTTATCTTTCACTTCCATGTTTATCACTTAATTTGGATTTGAAATCAAGTAAAAAAAACAACCCAATTTCATGTCATTTCTCTCTACACTCCCATTTGAATTATGGGAAATGTGTTTTTTACACAAACATACTACACTGCATGATTTTATTAACTTCATCTCACTCCCACGTGAACTTTTCACATTTGTTTCCAACATATCAGGAAGAGGGATTTACATTCTGTATGAAGATGTTAAATCTTGCCCCTATGAAGACGTGCACGTCCTCTGGTCAATACTAGTGGAATCACATTCACCTTCTTTGCCATCCAAGAAATGAAGGCCATGGGCACAATACAGAAATGAGAAGAGGCTCATCATAATGTAAATAAAATATATTTATAATGTCCATACAATAGAGTGTTTTCATCTTCTTTTACTTTTTTCTCTTAACTTTTGTAGCACCGTTAGCGTAGAGTGACTCTCAGCTTTTGATTTAGAAGCATTATTAGTTGTGTGTTTGAATCGACGGTGAGACTCAAAATCATGATTACACCATGAAAAATTGGAAGCAGCTCTGTGTTGCTTTGTCTTCAAAGTGAAAAATATGAATTGATTTTAGCAAGAGTGAAGCCAAACTAAATATACTATAAGTTCTTATATGAAAATCCATTTATCTTTATATTCTTAATTCTTGAATGCTTGCACAAGTTATTGTCCATCTAAGAAACCTGTTTTGGCTTTTGGGGACGGAAAGAGGAAATCATAATTTGTTTTCTTAGTGTAAGGTTTTTTAATTTTGATTGTTAAGACGTCTATTGAAGCTGTTGAGATGGTAGTTTGTTCCTTTTATTTCCCTTGTTGAAGTTGACCAGTGAAAGCACAGGCATATACTTAGTCAATCTAAAAATGAGTGACAGCATGTTAGGTTATAGAAAATAGGCCCTCTCGTTCAATCATGTAACAAGCTCAATTTGAAAGTCTTTTATACTTTCAATAAGCTATTCACAAATTATAAGTAGTAAAAAAAGGAGGGGAGGTGATGAGATAATATAGTTAATTATATGTCATTTAATTCTAAATTGGGAATCACTGGAAGCACCTTTTATAATACCTTGTGGCAATTATGTTGTAAAATTGACAAGAACAGTATCAGAGGCATATTAAGCAGAATGTATTATGTGAAGTGCTTAATCAAACTGCAATTAGTATTTGAAACTCTGCAGTCTTGATGAAACATCCCCCACAAACTCTAGAATTTGTTTATTTTTTGTGAAATCAAAACTATGTCTCATTTTAATTCACGGCTAAATTAAAATAGCTACTTTTGATGCTTTGTAGCACGCAATGGCAAATTAAAGCATTGCGGAGTACTATCGTATCGTCCTAAGAAGCATGTGGTACAGTAATAATTACTGGCTTCAGAAGGACTTCATAAAATAAAATAAAATAAATGGCTTCAAAAAGTCATTCACACGTAGCCATCCATTTTTGGAGTTCAAATCAAGTGCTGATATTTATTGATTTTGTAATACACTGTGGTGGGTCTTTGTAAATTTCACATCAAGAAGTATGATGATTCATGAATATTTCGGAGAGTGAAATAAATAAATAAAAAGAGAAATATAAATATAATAAGTAATATAATGTAATAAAAGAAATTATATTAATAATAGGAAAAAAAGTATTAATACAACATTTGCACTATGGAGTGTCCAAAAAAATATTACGAACTTCAGACAAATAATAAAGTCATATATAATTAGGGAGCAATTTAGAGATACCCACTAATTCACGGGTTGAGGAGAAATTTTGAGGGTTTGGCATCATCACAAGCTCTACATTATATATAATCAAATGTTATTAAATCTCTTTCATAAAATTAAAATTTGAATATATATTATATAAATATTAATCAAGATTATTAATATATCATAATTTCAAACTATCTCATAATTTTATTAACTATAAGAAGTAATTAGTACTGTCTTTTTTATAAGAATCCAAATTGATGAAATAATAATATAAATGATACTATTTAATATGTAAATCAACTGATAAGAAACTCTTCCAAACTTG